GAAGAAAAGAAAGAGGCTGAAAGCCTAGTTCAATCTTCTGATGAAGAAGCCCGTGAGGCAAAGGAAGCCCTCAGAAGTGGATTCAACGTAGACACAATGTCTATATTCCCAACAGTTAGTTATGGGACAGTTGAATATCGAAAGCATCCGGCGATCAATGCCAACAACGGTGCTAGAAAAAGAATTCCTGATGTGGCAGGAACAGATGAGACGCCCCGTCTCAAGACTTCCATCGGGGTACGGTTTAAGGACCGCAGAGTTTTTAGAAAAAGTGGAAGACAACATGCAAGAGTATATGGAAAGCATGTCGACGCTCACAGAGGACGAACGTAAAGCTGAAGAAGCTTACAATCAAGCCAGAGAAGAAATGGATCGATATGAGCAAGAACTCAAGAAGGAGATGAAAGAAAAGCTCGAGGCTAAGATGAAGAAAGTGCGCGAACTCGAAGAAGATGCAGTCGCAGCAAGAGGAGATGTTGAGAAGACGAACAACGTGAGAAGTGCTTTACAGCAGCTAGGAGAAGTCGTGCAGACGGCAGACAAGCTACTGTCAACCCTGAGCGAAGAGTTCACAAGCCTAGATCTGTACACAAGACCAAAGCCAGATGAAGAGAAGGAGCGACAAGCCCTAGCAAAGCTTATGACGATGATCAAGAAGAAAAGCGAAGGAAGCAACCCGTCAACACCGGCAGCAAAGATAAAGGCAATGCCAAAGAAAGTGCCAAGCGTTCTCAAAGGAGGACCGACGGTTTCTGAAGAAGAGAGAAAGGCAGCGAATACCTTGGAGAAGCAGTTAGCATTGAAGAACAAGATGAGAGAAACGTTCAAGGAAGCAACAGATGACATGATTGAAAAGGCAGCAAGGGCAAAAGTTGATCATGCCAAGGATAAGCCAAGTGAGCCAGAAGGAACGCCACCAAAAAGGCAAGTGAATCCGTATTGGCTCAAGGACCAAAAGGAAGAGTCATTCAAGAGGACCAAATACCTACACTGCTATTACTGCAAGCAGTCAGACAACCACAGAGCCAATGATTGTCCTTTGATGGAGGACGCGATCAAAATGTATTACAATGGCGAAAGGCCAGATCGTTCAAACAACGAAAGACGCATTTTCTGCAAGGTATGTTATATCTACTTCCAGAAGGTGACCGGAAGGTCATTCAGATATACTGGCTGGGGTACCCATACCCCCGACATCTGCAATTACAAGGAAAGCGTGAGGACCTACCTGCTAGACAATGCATACAAGTATGAGAAGGAGTTGAAAGACTTCCAAGAGACATTGGGCATAGGATACACGCCAAAAGACAGTTGGGGAGCAGAACCCAAGAAGCCCAAGAAAAGTGATGAAGCAAAGGCTGAAGAAAAGACTGTGAAGAAAGCAGAAGAGAAAGAGCCAAAGAAGAAGAAGCCAGCGGAAAAGTCCAAGAGCAAGGACAAAGACAAAGAGAAGAAAGCTGAAAAGGCCGAGAAAACCAAGAAGGATGAAAAGGGTGAAAAGGAGAAGAAGCGTAAGAGCGTATCTCCGTTCGATCAAGCAAGAGCTGAGAAACGCCAGCGAGGAGAAAAAGAGTTGGAGTGAAACAAGGTTGCGGTTTAAAGCAAGACAAAAGACCGTGAGGGCGTTGTTGAAGCCCAGCAAGAAAAGAAGTGAGGGTTGGAAATCAGCCCAGCAGCAAGAGTGAGGGCGAAAGTGCCCAAGGCAAAACGTTTCACCAAGAAAGCTTTGGAGAAGCTACGATAAAAGCCACGAGGATGGAAAGATCCCACGGCAACGACAAAGTCAAAAGCCACGTGGACGAAAGTCCCACGGCAACGTCAAAGCACTACGAGCACCACGATGAATTCAAAAGGCCAATGTTTACAAAAGGACTAAAGACAGAAGCCCGACAAAAGTTTCCAGATTGCCGAAGGGCAAGGATGGACTACGACTACCCCGCGTACAGCGACGTACAGAAAAAGTGAGTGTGCACGTAGAGTGGAGTGAGTCCATGCCAAATGTGTGTGGAAAGCAAATTCGCAAATCTGCTATAGGACATCTGAAGATTGAGGATGAAGACCGAGAGAAGGAAAAGAAAGATGTTCAAAAGTGCTCAAAGAAGCGTGCGAGAAGAGAAGATAAGGCTCACAGGAGCATGCGAAAACAGAAGCAGAGTAGTACAAAGATTAGGAAAAGTTTCACAGGATCACGTGACACGACAAAACTGTGTACGTGATGAGGGCGTAACAGAATGTTCAATTTTACCTCATGCCCAATTTAGCGCCAGTTTCACTGCGTATCTCCGTAGGTCAAACGTAGGCTCAAGACAGCCTGACAGCAGAGCGAGTAGTGAGAAAAGAATCCGAAGCTCGCGCCGTGCTGTAAGAAGGATACTGGTTTAAGGGTTTAAACTTTCACTATCAGAGCTCAGGGTCAGACGGGGCCCTCAATGATCATCCTCCCGTCCGCTCAAGAGGCGCGATGGGGTCTCTACCTCGCCCGAGGAGGAAGCGACCCTTTGGCGCTCCGTCATGGAGTTTTTCCACGACGTTGGAGAAGAAGAGGAAGAAGAGGAGGAGGATCCAGTCTCCCTCCGCCACTTCAACTACTGAACGCAACGCATACGCAAAGGGTAGGGAACGGACCCTGCTTCGACACATTCGAGCAGGGTCGTGCCGCCAGGCTGACCGGACCAGCGACCTGCTTCGACATGGAGGCCGCAAGGCACGGCAACGCGGCACGCCACCGGCCGCGAGCGCAGACCGAAGTCCACGAGTCCACGGACGAACCGCGAGGGACTGGCGTTTTGAGATATTTCCCAGAACAGTCCCGAATTGTGAAGCGCGCTTAGCTGGTCTTGCACAGCAAGGGCAATCACAGCAGCCAGACTGTTTTTGCTTCGCGAGTCCACGCACGGTCGGTCCGTAGGGAACGCCGCGTCGCGTGACCCACCGTGCAACTCAACGAGCTACACTACCTGGTTACCTGAAGTGCAGCCGTGCACACTTGGCACGCCCAGTCTCTAAAGCAAGGCACTTGAGCCAAAACGTCTCGTTTTGGTCAAACATACAAATTAACAACAACATGCAAAGCTACAACTACAGCTGGCAGAGGCCTGTGCACATGGAGCAGCAACATGTATGTGCATTCGGTATATGTCCTATCATGATGGAAAATAAAAGACATTTCCATTTTTCGCAATCCATGACTTATCAACATGGAAAATATAGCATCTGAGCGATTTTCAGACCCCATTCATATGTTAAGTCGTACTAAAGGAAACTAAGAAGCATTCAGCGACGCTCATTTTCACTAGTTGCTTTTGGAGGAAGTAGTCGTTTCGTCCTTTACGGGCGGGATTACTTGAATCAATGGAACACCACACTTGCAGCAACACGCCGGGTCCACTGCGGAGGCAGCGGCTATGCAGCTACGACACAGGGAGGGTGCAGCACCTCCGTGAGAGGCCCCGCAAATTCCCCAACCCTTTTCGACTGTGCCTATCCGTGCCGTGCGAGCAGAATGTGCCAACCGCGTGGCACAGGGCGCACGACAAGAAGGAAGAGGAAAAACGGCGTCGCACAACCCGCGCATCTCGCGAAACCAAAGACAAGGCGGAGAGTAACGGGAAGTCGACCAGACATACTCAGCAGTGGTATGTGAAGACCAACGTGAAGCCAGTGTAAGAACGTATTCGGAGGACGCGGACACACCGGGCGGAACGCGAGCAGTGTGGATGTGCATGAGCCGCAGCATACGCATGTAGCTGTTGAGACCTCGAGCACTAAGCGCATTCACATGATCATTCTGCATTTTTCGATCAACGAAGATCTTCTGCGGAGCTCTCCGCGGCCCCGCCTTGTGTCCTAAGGGCAGGTAGCGATTGACAATATTTCAGTACACCAGGGCGACAGGCTGTCCGTGCAAATGCCGGTCCAACGAAAGGACTTGCGTCGGACACTGATATCCGGTCTGATCAACCGGAAGCACTTGCAATTTCAGTTTCACGATTGAACCTTGAGACCAACATCGTTCCATCTTCATGATTTGAATTTAGACGGAGTATTGATTCTGCCAGTCTCACCTAGGTCAGAATTTCTGGACCCCAATGTTATCAGCAGCATCAAGACATTGGTTTTTGACAATGAGAAGAAGCAGCCGATAAACGAAGGGCATATTCAAGAGCTATCGTCAACCGGTATTGACGGGCATCTTTCTATGATGGTGCACCATCCCTGCATCGAAGGGCTGCCAACAACAGTTGACCTAAACAACATGAGCATGGAGTTAGAAGGCAGGGGGTTGGCAGCAGGGTCCAGAGATGCAGCGCTTTTTGGACGCGTCGTGATTTCACGTGCCATGCTCCATGGTGTTGTGCAGGGTGGTCTTCTGGTTTGTATATAAGATTGCTACAATTTGTGAACTTTTCCACAGTACATGCCAGTGTGTGAGCGCTTCTTGGATGCGTCTTGGTTTCATGCCAATCTGTGAATGGAATGCTTCTTGATTGCAGGTCAGTCTAGATGAGCTTGGAGCCTTTGCGAAATTGAGAAGACAAAAGCAGCACATCAGAAATACCGCCGAAGAAACAGAGCCACATCACCGGTGACATCTCAGACCAAGAGGTTTGCTTCAAGCGCATGTCTTTATGTATCTTCGTGACACATTTCAGGTAAGATTCGACTAGCAGAATTGTTAATCGTTAACCAAGGAAAAGGCACTCCGAACACAGCGCAGCATCAGCACCTATAATCCGCCTGTTTCTTTTTTGGTTTCGGCATTTGTTTTGGAACTGTGTTCGCAACCACATGAGGAAGGCGTAATGCCAGGTTGTGATTCTTGGTGCCACCCGGCCTTGTTTCGGTTTCCAGGTCATGCAAAGCTGACTGTGATATCACGACTGCTCGTCACTTCATCTCTTCATCTAGTGTAACCATTGTGACTTTATGCCTGACCTCAGTCCTCAGTGCATCCCGGCAAGTGCCAATCCGCCGGAAGCTGTGTCTTTCTTTCTCCGCAGGGCTCGGATCGCTTGTCGGCGGAACTTTGCTACCACGTGGCGCAGGTGCAGATGGATCAGAGAATTTGAGCCGAATTGCTGTCTCCTGTGCCACTTAAGGTGTTTAACGGCTTTGCGAGCGAGGCCGGTTGTGAGCCCTGTACGTCTGATGGAGCCGCTTCTAAGCATGGATGGGCGCCGCTCTTCTTGAGATCTCTCGGCGATGTCTGGTCGCCCTCTTCCAGGCCCTCCGCGAGCAGACGCCGCCGGCCCAGGAGCCAAGCGGCTCAACCACAAACGCCGGCTCTGCCGTTGCCCTTCTTTCAAGGCCCATGTCCAAGAGCGCCGCTTCCGCCGCGGCCCGGGGGCTCTCTTTGCGGGGGGGCTCTCTGGTTCTTGGAAGCTGAGAGGTGCACATGGATTTTCAGAAGCAAAGCTTCGAGTCGGCCTTGGATTTCCTGAGCCGAGCCCCCAAGAAAGACTGTTCCCCTATAGGCCCTTCTGTGCCTTTCTGTGCTTTGGCGGAGGTCAGAACGAGCTCGGCTCCTTAAGCCTCCAGGAGGCGCCGCCGTTAACTTAACTGCGGCCTCGCCTCGGCTCGGCGCCCACTATAACTAGTGGAGAGAGTGCAGAGAGAGAGTGCAGAGAGTGGAGCGGTCGCATCGCAGGCGGGCGAAACGCAGCAGCGGCTTCTGCCGCTGCTGCGTTCGGAAGAGCTCGGTCTCGGCTCCAACAGAGAACGCAACGCTCGCAGCTCAGCGCAGACCTCGCTCGGTGGTGGCCCTGGCCCTCTTCTCTTAAACCGAGGAAACGACGACCCTCGGCCGAAGGCCGAGCGCGGAAGGTGCGATGAGTACTCCATGTGTGCTTTCCAGGGGGCAGCGGGGAACCGCCTTTGGGTGACTCCGAGAAATGCGCCTCTTAGAGCGCGCTCGGGCAGGCCACGGCGCGCGAGTGGGGCCGACGGGGCCGGCTCCGGGCGGCTTGGCTTTGGCTTTGGCCCTCCATCTCCTCGAGGACGACGGTGGTGTGGAGCAGCAGCGAGGGGCGAGGGGAGCTTTTCTGGCTTTGGTACTGAAGTTGGAAGGCAAGGGCGGCCGTGGCGACGAGAAGTGGGCGCAAAGTCCGTATGCTGCAACCACAAAAGCCCTTGGTCACCTTAGGCCCTACATGCCGAACTAACCTCTCAAACAAAAACTGACTTCGCTACAGCACGTGGAATCCCTGATTACCAAAAGCTCGAATGCCAAGCTTCTTCAGGTCGGCCTCAAGAGAGGAGCCGAACATGAAGTCAACAGTGGCCCAATCAATGTGATGTCGAAACCGCCCCCGCAATGCGGCTCCTGGCGGATCCTCAGAGGGAAGGGAACGGGCTGAGAGATGCCGAAAGGCGGTGAGAGACAGAGAGGAGGGGGTCTCCGCTCCCGGCTCGGCGGCCGGACGAAGACTCGAAGGAGACCCGTGTTCAGAGGACGGACGCGGCCACACGTTCCAACAGCGCCCACGTGGCCACGACTCTAGTTTCGGCTCAATCCGGACGGCATGTCTCCGCGTCGGAGAGCCTATGTAGGACCGGAATAAAGCCGGCAAAGGCCCCCACTGAGGCATCGCAACAAAAGCCAAAAACGGGTGTCTGCAATCGCCTCGTGTCGCCTCGTCCCTGAGAGGAAAGCGCCGTCGTAGCAGGGATAGGTCTGAGGGTCTGAGATCGGCCGTTGCAGCTCGAGGAGCTCCCTGTGGCCGTTGCTTCCGCCGCCGGTGCCAGCAGTGGCAGCGAGAGCTCCGGAGAGGCAGAGTTTAACGGGGAGCTTGGCTGCTTGGCTTCAGCTTGCGGAACTCCGGGCCAGGAGGAGGAGGCTTTGCCACGTGCCGTGGCGATGTCGCTGAACAGCTTCCTCCAACGAGAACTTCTGCAAGCGACTCGCTTGCTTGGAAACGTCCGGCAGGGCCTGGAGGAGACTTCTCCAGCACTCCAGCCCGCTCGACGGACGGGGGGTGGGGGGACTTTGTGCAGGATCTGATCGCCCACTTGGAAGGCCAAAGAGTGTGCGTCGTGCGTCGGCTCCAGTTGGGCAGGGCCAGGGCTGGACCCGCCTCTGGAGGTGAGTCCTTCTCAGATGACCTGGAGGCACAGAAGACAAGAACTGGGGGAAAGTTGCACAGAGCGATATGCCGGGGGAGTGTGGAGTCTGAGGCCATGTTGGAGACGCTCTTGGCGGGCTCGGTGCCCGAGTCCTGGAGGAGCCCGGGGCGGAGCGGGCGGAGCTCGAGCCTCGAGCTGCGGTTTTGTGCTGCTCGGCGGTCTTTTGCCGTCGGCGGGACGGAAGGAGCTTTGGACTGGTGGCCCCTCGCCGAGCCCTGGCCGCCTGGACAGAGGCCCCCGGGGCCCGGGGGGCGCGGAGGCAGCCGCTCTGACTTTTTCCAAGAGAGGACGTCGCCCGTCGCGTGGGAGCACTGCGCGCCTGGGAGCTCAGCGGAAAGGCCTTGTCGTCGTGCGTAGTAGGTCCCCAGAAGTAGGGAGAAGTGGCGTCGTGCGACCCAGTGTACGCTGCTTCCCGGCAGGCCCCATGTTGCTTCTACCTGTCCGACTTCTTGAATCCGAAAGGCCAGGGAGCTCTGCAGGGCTCCAGAATCTCGAGTCTCAACGGGGGGGTTGAACGTGAGGCTTCCTCGTCGCGACACTCCAAGGGACTGCCCGATTGCGACGATCCTCCGTTGAGAGGACTGGAGACCGGGAGACCCGGGGAGACCGACGATTCCGTCTGCTGCTCTGAGGATGCACTTCCAACATCGAGTGGAGCATCTGCTTTCCAATGCAGAAGAGGCCCCCATGCGAAGTGCTTTGCGCCTCTGTCGCTGCGGCTTTCAGTCGTGGCGAGAGGTTCAGGTCTGGCCTTAACCGGAAGTTTCTGTTCTGGAAGTGCGCGCGGTTTCTTTGGACCTTTCGTGGAACGCCCCTAAAGCTGCGCAGGTCCGGCAGCAGTTGAAGGCGCAGCCAGCAGGGATGGCAGAGAGCAGAGAGTTCGGCTGCATTTGTCTCTGGCGCAGGCTGATCATGCTTTGCTGGATGTGTCTTTCGAAGGCCGCCGGCGCGAATCGTAGTCGGAATGCGTGGCTGTTGTTTAGCATGCGCCGCGGTTTTTGAGAGGTGTCTTCCTAGCGGGGCTGGGCCCTCAGAGCTCAGAGGCGAAGGCGCCACTTCAAGCGCTGCTCCTGCTCCCTCCGGCGGTAGCGGCGTGAGGCTCTGGCTCGAGGGCGCCTCCTGGAGCCGACGGAAAGGGATCTTGGAGGAGAAGAGCGGAAGAGCGGAGCGGAAGAGCGGTACGGAAGAGCCGGGCCTTTCAGGAGAAGGAGGTGCACTCGCGCTTCCACCAGCGCTGGTCGGCCCTGCCGGCCGGAAGACCCCAGCACCAGCTGCTTTGTCTCCAGCAGAAATGTGAGGTCAACGGTTGCCTGTCAGGTCATCCGCTTTAACCCCGTTGATGGCCCAGCGCAGGAGACCTTCCTCTTCTCAGTGCTTTCTCCTCTCCAATTTCTGCACCGCAGGCTGGGGGAAAACGGGAGTGGGACGAAGCAGTCAGGAGCCCTTGCCTCCACCTCGCGAATCCGCGCGTGGGCCGTCGAAAGGTGTGAGCGGCCAATTCACGGACTTCGAAGTACGTGCCGTGTGCTTTGCGTCAGGGCCAGCGCAGGTGTCAGGAAGAGTGCAGGAGGCCTGGGCAGCACGGGATAACACATTTGGCTTCGATGCGTATGGCCAGCCCTGCTGGGCGGCTGGGTGGCTGGATGGGTGGGTGGGCGGAGTATAAGCATTGGCCCCGGATTCAGCAGTGCGGGTCATGTCTGGATGTGGAGAATGGAACCGACCAGCAGACCTCCGATGTCTCTTTTTATCGTCATGTCTGACGAATCAATGAAGATCTGTTTTGTGAATGTCTGCGAGACCAAGCGATCCGTCAGCTCACAGAAGATGGCAAGACTATCGGGCGGCAGGCCAAGCCAGCTCCCGAAGAGCATTCCTTCTCTCCCCCCTCCTTTGTCCTGTGCAGTACTTTTGCATGTTGCAGGCCGTGCCCTGTGTGGAATGCCGTTCGTCTCGGAGTGGCTGAGTGCTTTTCTCTCCTCGAACATAACATACTGATCTGGAACATCGTGCTTGCTACATGGCAACACGGAATATAATCATACTCCTGTGCGTGAAATCCCCTCTGCGCTTGACCTCTTGATGTCGCATGTTGCTGTCGGGTGCGCTTCTGCCTCAGGGGATGCGTTCGGCCGACATGCAAAAAGGCTGGCCGGCATGCAGGGTTGGCTGGCGGAGATGCAAAAGCTTTGCGGCGGATGTTTGCGGTCGGCTGAGATGCATAAGACTTTGCGGCCGATATTTGCCGTCGCGGCCGATGTTTGTGGTTAGCTGCCGGAGATGCAAAAACTTTGTGACCAATGTTTGCGTTTGGCGCCCCGAGATGCAAAAAACAGTTTTGCTGCCCTGGCCAATGTATGGGCTTAGCTGCCGGACACGGTGGGGGTGCAAGTTGCCAAAAGCCTGTTCTGTTGCAACATTTGTCCTTACCCTTTGCGCAGTTGCAGCGTTGCTCAGGGCAACACAGAAGGGGGCAACACTTTGGAAAGGCAAGACCCGACCCTTCGCCCGAAGTTCGTCGAACCCCGCCGGCGTTCGCCGAACCCTCGCCGAACACCTCCCCTCCTTCGAACCTTTATTATTAAATTCTAATATTATTAATATTAATTAATACTAATAATACTAATAATAACTAATTAATATTCATTTAATTATAATTAATATTAATATTAATATCAATAATACGAATACTAATATAATACTAATAATACTAATACTAATATAATAATACTACTAATAATAACTACTAATACTAATATTAATGCTAATACTAATTTGTTTAATACTAATACTAATTAAATCCTAATACTAATGTTACATAAATTATTATTATACTTAAATTTATTTAAATACTAGTACTTATGATACTGATATTTCAATATAATTTGTAACAACAGAACTAATAATACTAATACACTAATTAAATTAGTAATTAAATATTACTAATACTAGTATTATTAATGATGTATTAAATACAAATATTTATTAAGTCTCATATTAATAATTTTAGTAATATTTATATTCAAAAAATACAAAGGTGAAATTACAATGAATGTGAAAAACTAATAAACTAAAAAGTATTAGCAATAATGTGCATACTTTAACCTTATCACGAATGGCTCATAGTATAATAGATTTGCATTCGAAGCCTGAATGGCTTGTATTCTTAGTCATAGATGAATAATATGGGAACCCTGTCATGAACAATTAACTTGCAGAATACTTGTTAGTGTGCTGTTCAGAGTTACTAATTGATAATCAATGTCCATACAGGCCATTGTCAATAAAGTATATTGTTTGTTAGCTATTTCTTATTATTCAATTTGTGATACTATCGCTAGTGGTAACAATTTAAACAATAATTTTTAAATAACTCATCATCAGCACACTATTTCTCACAGGGGCCTGCCTATCACCGGTACGATCCCAATTCATATTCTAATAGTATCAATAATAAAAAAACTCAGTTTCCTGATTGCTTAATTTGGACGCAGAACATGTGTGTCCTGGATATGCATCTATTTTCTTTGAGTGGTTCTGTATAATAATTAAGCAGCTTTATGAACTTGTGTATGATATGATGTCAACACTAATCAAAACATACTGCCGTATAAGTGATGAATAATTAAATACACACTTTGACTTAGCTAGATTATTCGTGGTTTTGCCTGTTGTAACACTGAATACTGGCTAACAAGAACAATAGTACTATTTTATAATCAGCAGGTTTCAGCAAGATTGAGTACAATAATATCACGATCATCCCTCTGCTTGTAACCAGAAAGAATAAACAACAGTTGAGTCGAAAGAACAAACTTGACAATAGTGTAGCCAGAGGCTTAGGCAATTACATTGTTACTAACTGTTAGCAGCATAAAGAATGTAGTTAATAGCAACAACAAATATGAACACATATAGATACTCACCATCATCATCGTCATCATAATCATGCGTGCTGCTGTGTCTTTTTGTTTTGGGAAGGGGGGAAGGTTCAGTCAGGGCAAGACTTCGGCTTCGCTGCAGTTGGGAGGGTTTGGGGTTTGCGAGTCTTGCAGGGTTTGGCCCGAGTCCATTGTAAGAACCCTATTCCCAAAGACCCGAAAGAAAAGAAACCAACCCCACCATGCAGCCCTCCTGAAGCCGCAAGCCCAGCCCAAGCAAGAGAGCATTCACGTCTTGGACAAGATCATGGTGATGCTGGGAGCCCGGGCAAAGTACTCAGTGAGGGTTTCCGGGTGAGCGCCTAAGGATTCGGGTTAGGAGTTAATGGGCCGACCGTGAGGTCGTGCCCGGGTCTAGGAGTAAGATTTACGCTAGCCGGGTCGACCGGGAGGTCGCGCCCGTTTTTGCAAGACGTCCATCGGACGCCGGCCGTGAGGTCGTAAGAACAGCGGCTGGGAAGCCGAGTCGTAATACGGCAAGAATTAGCAAGACGTCCATTTGGACGCCGGCCGTGAGGTCGTACGAGTAAGAGATAGCAAAGTCACTATATGGAGAGACGGTAGGGAGTAAGGTGTAAGATCAACAGACGTCCATAGGATGCCGACCGGGCGGTCGCAAGATTAGAAAGGAGGGTCAATGCAGAGTAAGATTATTCTTCCAGCAAGCAACTAGTTACGTCGTATTGAACTGATATTATTGGCCATTGGTTGATGGTTGTTGGGTTGAGTAGTCAGTGTTACAGTGTATAATAAGACTGTGATGTGTTTCTTGATGTGGGAATTTCAGGGCAAGACCTAACCCTGCCGAGAGCGTAAGAACCGATGACGAACGCCCCCTGATAAATACGGAGCTTCCGCAAGCTTTGAATGTAAGTCGTAAGTGTAAACCGAACCACCCTCTCCCGCGCAAGATTCCGATTTGCTAGCTGCCCGAAGCCATCAGACTTGAACTCTGCCTGACCTCAGACCCAACTCCGAGCCCTAAACCGGGACCAATCTCCAAACAGGCAAGAACATTTGTAAAAAATGTTAGACATTAGTTAGAGACTTGCCCAAGGCAATCAATCAATATACAAAATTCAAATCAATTAATAATATACAAAATTCATGCTAAGTGAATTGCCAGATTGACTACCGAGGCCAGACCTCCGCATGCCTCGTCGTGCCAGATTTCTAGCAGGAGGAGACCCGGGTGGTTTGGTTTTCTGCAGTGGGCTTTTGATCAGATCAATAATCGAATCAGCGGTTGTTGACCATTTGTCAGATTTGGCTTCACGTCAAGGTTGAATTGAGTCAGCAAGAACAGTGCGTCCGCAGTTGACCAGGTTGTCTCAGTCAGACTCAGAAGCATAATTGATTAATTATATTTTTTACAACGTAGAGTGAGTGAAGACGAGTAGACACTGACACGTAGTAGCTCCGCTTCCATGGCTGACCAGTGGCAAGATCAGCAGTGGAATGACCGTGCCACGCGGTGGAATGAGTGGCAAGATGACCAGTGGCGGTGGAATGAGTGGCAAGATGAGCAGTGGCGGTGGAATGAGTGGCAAGATGAGCAGTGGCAAGATCAGCAGTGGAATGACCGTGCCACGCAGTGGAATGAACACCGGCACTGGCCCGAGCAGCAGGGGGGCGACGAGGACCGGAGCAAGAAGAAGAAGAAGAAAAAAAAGGGGGAAGGCGCCGTACTCCGACACACGCTTAAACGGTTTGGCGTGACTTGGCATCTTGATAATAAAACTAACCTTTAAGACTTACTTGTTAAAGATTAGTATTATATTATTCAGTCGTCACATCCATGGCTGGACTCAGGTAGTTGGCACGCAAGAGTTATATTGCAGGCAACGAGCTGCACGGCAAGAGGTCCTCAACAAAGCCAAGGCTCCTCAAGTGGTCGTGGCCAGATGTAAAGCAGAGCCAAGCAGACCACTCGTGGCCAGATGTAAAGCAGAGCCAAGCAGACCAGAGGACAGACCAGAGCCCGTGGAGCCACAATCAACTTCGCCAGCACAGGTGAACATGCCTTCCCAGCCTCTGCCTGAGCCAGAGCCTGCGGCATTGCCCCGCCAGCCAATTGGACCACCCGTCAGCTTTGGCCCCCCAGCAAGGCCGCAGCCAGAACAAGCACTGAAGCCACAAGCAAGTCAAGCCACAGCCGCAGCAAGTCCAAGGAGACCACCTGAGAGCCTTTTAAACCCAAGGCATTCAGCAAGACCAGAAATGCCAATGCCACGAGCAAGTCCAGCCACAGCCGCAGCAAGCCCACCACCAGCAGGGCTGCAGCACCAAGCCCAAGCCCCGCTAACTCCGCGGCCAAAAGGACGGCCAATGCAAATAACTGAGCCAGCACAGCAACAGCAAGAGCAGCAGGTCCAACAAGCCCCGCCAACTCCTCAGACTCCCCCCCCCTCCTCGCAGCGGCCGCAGCAAGTGGCACAGCCACGGCAACAGCAACCAGCCCCACAAACTTCAGCTGCACAAACTCAGCAAGGGCTTCTAGCAGCACCGCCGCAGGTCCCAGAAATGCCGCCACCGCGGTGGCAGCCGTTGCGACAGCAGCTGCAGCAGGGAGCCCCGCCGCAGCAAGAGCAGCCGGCACCCGTGAGCCAGCCGCCACTCAACCGTCAGC